CTAGAGTGCTGATTAGCAGGAATCTAGAGCAGAACTGAAACTCAAAATGAAATACTTTGATAGAAGACACAGGCATTCAAGTAGTATCATGATTGTTAACCAAATGCCTTCCAGGTAAGATTAGATATGCAGTGAAAGGGGTTTTGATCAGTTTGTCTTTGATCAAGATAACAATTACAATGTCTATTTGGTGCAAAGAAATTCAGCCAATGTTAACTGAATGAAAGAATGCAAGAAGTAACAAAGTGTGTAGAAGTTCAGGGCCTGTGACAGAAAGTTGCCACAAAAGTGTGAAAATGAATTATATAAATATTCACATGACTCTGACTCAGTAAATGTTTATGAAAAAAAAGTCTTAATTCAAAATGCTATTCTTTAGCATATTTAATGACCTTCATGCTTGGAAATGCCCTCATTCAACTTTTCAAATGCTTACATTCCTTAAGTTACTACAATCAAGAAGCCATGTATGTTAAAGTCTATTTGCAGCTTCTGCCATTATCTGTGGCTTTACTCATGAATATAGAGAACTAGTAGCTATACCCCTGATACTAGCTGCGCTTATCAAATAAAGAGCACGGCCATACAGCTCCTCATGGAGTACATATTGCTTCAAAATGAAAAAGGCTTAACAACATGTTAACTTACTTCTCATCTGGCTTTGCTATCCATTTCTACTTGATCAGACATTAGTACTGGTTCTGCTTTAAGAGCTAATTCATTAAAATCACTTTGGTTTGATTGATGAGTTCTAAAGGCAATGAAGAAGAAAATGGTCTAAAATTTTATATTTGCAATTATAAGTGTGATTTTTTTAAGGGTACACTGAACTGGGCTCATTAATCCATCAGTTTATAAAAGGAAGATTTCCAAGTTAATGTACCTGAGAATCATTAAAAGGAGAGCGGGAGTATGACAAAAAAGTAAAGTGTTTTATACCGGTGTTGACCAAAATAACTTGAAAGTATGACTTTGTTGGGGTCCAAATTTAATAGGACTCTGAGAAGAGGAAACAAAAGTGGTGTGAGAATTATACTTTGGAAGATGTGATTTAGATGTTCATCAACACTCATTTAACAAACTATGTGACTGTAATTGTGTCTCATAATGCTTCCTTACCTGCAACAAGGAATAATGAAAGTATGTAATTATAATGATACTACTGTACTCATATGGCTGTGGAGATTAAATGGGAGAATGCTGGAGAGAACTCTTGGTAACAAAGGAATGATGGTTTCTATACAATAAATCTACTGTCCAACAGTGAAGCAGTAATATCCACACCAATGTGTCCATTCTCAGGGAGCCAAGAGAATTTTATTCTCATAAAAGGTCTCAAACCAGCAAAACAATTCAGATTCAAAGATAAATTAAAAACTCTCCAGACACTCTATTTCTTTATATGAGCAAATTGTCACTGAATCATAATCTACTGCTGATAATCACGTCTAGATAGCTTACCCAGTTTTACCATTTTGACTGATAGTACATAGTTAAATAACCAGTGTTTGGTTTTCCCTTAAAGTCAGTTAATGAATCATATAATCAAACACAGGACATTGTAATATCAAGCAGATACAGCTTACAGCTTAACAGCATCTAATTCTGGTTTTTCTATTATACTATTTAATTTTTTTTTATTTTGCTTTATTTTCATTATTTGAAAGAGAGAGGAAGGGTGGGAGAGAGGGAGCAGAAGGGGAGAGAGAGATCTCCCATGTGCTGGTGCACTTCCAAAATGTGCCCAGTAACTAAGGATGGGCCAGGTCAAAGCCAGGGTCTCAGTCTATGTCTCCCATATGGGTTGTGGGAAACAGGGAGATAACAATTGGAACCATCACTTGTTGCCTCCCAGGGTGTGTGTACATTAACAGGAAGCTGGGATTGGAAGCAGAGCTGGCTTGAGTCCCGGCACTCCAATTATATAGGACACTGGTGTGCCAAGCAACAACCCGCTATGACCAAATGCCAATTCCCATTACTGTCTGCTCAAATTAAAAGCTTTTCTTTTCTCAGGTTCATATCTGCCTTCCATCCACTCTGACTCTCTACTCTGTTTTTCCTTGTCTTAACAAAGGCAAAAATGAACCCACCCTCGTTTTTATAGAAATATGATGTCATAATGATAGAAGGCTCAAGCTTCTTGCCACAGAAGCTGGATAATGCTTTAGTCTTTTGTACATTCTCTAAGTGTAAAAAGTTCTTGAAAGGATATAGGAATTGCTCTTCCAGTAATAAGGTTCAAATTGCTTGATGTCAACTTCATTCTTGTTTTGTTCCTTTTCTGACCAAGGGCTCATATTTACAATAGATAGAGTGGTTACGATTACCGACCAAGCAAAAAAATGGAAATCAACTCCACTCAATTTTGCGCAAAGCAAAGTTTTAGATTTATCAGTTTTCTGCTAAAAATCCCTTTAAAGCACATCCTTAAGGTCAGGAACAAAAGTAGAAACACATGAAATTTTCTGCAACAAAAGCACATATCACAACTTGACTGAATTATATATCGTCACAGTCTGTGTATATGCGGGTTTGGAGATGGAAAGTTTAAGGATAGAGTTATAGGAGGAGAAGCATCATTCCAACAAGTCACGCCAGTTACTAGGAATAAATGAAGCCAAATCATAGGCTTTATTCCATATTTGTCTCCTTCAGATTTCCAGATATAGAATTATAGAACTAAACTGGATATAACCTTAGAAAAAAAAATAGTCTCACTTTAAAAATGAGGCTGGTGTTTGGATAAGGAGGAGACTGTTGATTGGCCTATGGATGAGTTGCTTCTTGTGATACTCATACAACATATTGGAGTGACTGAATTTGAATCTTGGCTCTCTTCTTGAATTCAGTTCCCCTGATTCATCTGCTGGGATGCAGCAGGTGGTGGCTCAAGTATTTGAATCCCTGGCACGTATAGCAGGAGATCATGAATGAGCTTTCTATTGGTCCAGGTAAGGGCCAATTATTTACACACACACACACATATAAATGAATATATTTTAAAAAAAATTTTTAAATGAGAATAGGAAACACCAATGTCAAGGATTTACAAATATCTTCAGGAAGCACATGGCAGCCAAATCAACAATTTTGCAAAGAAATGGGCAAAGGAAATGAACAATTTTCAGAAGAACAAATTCAAATGGCTAATAGACATGAAAAAAATGCTCAGGCTACCCAGCATCAGGGAAATACAAATAAAAACCACACTGAGTTTTTACCTAACTCCAGTTAGATTGGCCTACATTTGGAACTTTACTGATAACACCTGCTGGCATGAATGTGGGGAGAAAGGTGTCTTACTTTACTTTTGTTGGGAGACTAGGCTAGTAAAACCACGATGGAAGTCAGTATGGAGAGTACTGAGCATGGAAAACTGACCTGCTCAATTTACTCATCTATCCCATTTCTGAGGATATATCCAAAGGAAATGAAATCTGTATGTGAGAATGTGACCTGTAATCCTGTAATCCTATATTTACAGCAGAAGTAAGACAGGTTAAATGGTTTTCTCCAAAATCTGGCTAAATAATGGCAGATCTGAAGTTTGAAGTTAGTCTCTTTAATATTCACTTGATGGATTCTCTTTTTACTACATCACATGGTTTCTTCTTACAGGTACTTTCCTCTACTTAGAACATGTTATTATTTTAAAGAATGAATAAAAATTAAAGTATTATTTTCTCACACTTCATGTCTAAATAAATGCCACAATTAGTGGTTTACTTAGTATTGATTTTTTTTAAAAAATACCATTTCCCCTTAGTGATGATCTTATATTTTCATTTGTAAATATACATATGGCTGTCACAAATCTTGTGTCACATTGTAAAAGCAAAGGTGGCACTTGCCTTTTTAAAAGAACACTTTAAATGTAATTGAAGAGGGTTTGAATGCAACAAATGTAGCCATTGGTTTTCTTTGGAATTACTTTCCTCACTTATGTTTAAAATGAAAACCATATTAAGAATGAAATGGATAAGATTTTAATAGTATTCAAGCACCATAGAAAAAACATAGAAAGCTAGATAATCACTTAACTATACTGCCTTGCTTTAGTCAATGCCACTTATTAACAATCTATCATACAAACATTTCAAGACTATCCATCACAACAAAAATTAAATTACATGAGATCTCAAGAGGTCTTGAATTTGGAAGTAGTTTTTATTAAAGCTCTAGCAATTCTTCAACAGGACTCTCAATCACACCTCTAAATGGGCTGCCAATAGGAAAGTAACCTGGTTCAACATTATTTTTTTTTAATTAAAACAATGAAAAAATGTTTTGAAATCTAGCATGCTCTCTGTCCTCGGATGCATACTATGTACTCTGTGAGAATGAAAAAAAGAGAACAAATGATTCTGTCATTCTATGGCTAAGCCATTTGAAGGGCTCTGCAATGAAAAACAGCATCCTTCACACAGGGAGCAAATATATGCACCTCCTCCATCAGCACATCATGTTCTGAGTTCTTCCTCTAAGTTTGGTACTGTACTAAGAGCTCTAAGAAAATTAGCTCATTCAAAAGTACAGTCACCAGTTATAGAATGAGGAAACTGACAACCAGAGAGATGAAGTGTCCTTAAGGTCATGCAGCTGGTTAGTCAGATTCCAAAACCTATGTAATTCATTAACACTTTTAATGTTAATATTGTGGAGGACTAGAATCACACAGTTTACTATGTAACGGATTCTTTCCCAAGCCCTTTCAACTGATTTAGACTTATTAATCCAATAACAAACTGATATTATATAGAGAGGATTTCACTAATTTCATTTCAGAAAAGGTAATTTGTATAAGGTCACACAGTTAGAAAGCGTGACCTTGAACACAATGATATTCCCTATACTTATCTTCTAACTAACGTGAAGTAGCCTATCTTCAGAAAAGATCATGAGCAGTGAGTAAAGACATTATTTTCATTGCTCTTTACAAATCAGCCTTGTGGGCATATTATAATCACAAGAAGCAACAATGTTCATGTTGTGCCTACCTGCAGAAGCTTCCATCTGGTGTTCAGGTCTTCCAAAGTGTTGAGGTTATATGGTGAGAGCTGAATACCCAGTGTGGTGAGCTGGCGGCCAAGGTCATTGACGTGGCTTACATTCTCTTTAAGAGGTGCAATTTCTCCTCGGAGAGCCTGCATGAAATAATCAAGAGGAAATAGGAATTTTAGGACATTTAAAGCAGCCAAACAGATATAAAGCTGCTTGGAGTACAATGTTAATGATGATTGCTCTACATTATGATTCCTATGTTTGTGTACTCCCGAAGTTCATGTGTTCAAATTCTAAGAAAGCCAAAATAAAAATAAATTCAAAAGGAAATCCCATTGGCCAGTTAGGAAGTGGAGGTGAGTTTTAGGGTTGTGATTAGTTCACTCTCGCTTCTGGCATGTAAGGCTGCAGCTTAAAGGCATCATCTATGTGAGAAAAGTCCTTGCCAGACATTGAGTCACTTCTCTTGGTCTTGGACTTCCAGAACTCCATAACTGTGAGAACTAAATTTCTATGTTTTGTAATCTACCAACAGAATTTTTGCTGTAGTACTGCAAATGGGCCGATACTCCACCAAGGTGATAATTCAGCCATAAGCATTTTATAATGAATGAATAATGATACCTCATATTTCCTGAGCAATTCCCAGGTATCTGGTGTGACAAGCTCCATCCACACGGGAAATTGTATTCCTACACAACAACCCTGTGGGGTTGTAATTGGAGAATTTTCATTTAATGCCCAAGAAAATGTTTTGAGGTTAAAACTTGTCAAGGTCTTATGGGTAAGCATTTGAGCAACCCAAGATACACATGCTGGTTTTCCTATCTACGAAGCACAAATTCTTAATTACTGTATTGTATGTAGAAATTTCAAAAAGTTTGTGGAAAAAGTGGAAATAAAATCTTATTTGATGCAAAAAGTTTTGAAATGCATAATATGAACTTTCCATGAACATTTTACAGAATCCCTCAATTGCAAATTTGTTGAATGAAAACAAAGTTATCTTTAATACCATTTCCCCAGAAACTTTTTGAAGCATATCTCTCCAAAGAAATTTGTGGTTGACAAGGTAACAGGAAAAATTACAGTGCTTAATAGGTTCTAAATTCTACTCATCTCAGAACTAGAAATGGATACTTACATTTACAATAAAAGACACACACAATAATAACATAACACATTCGTATTTTGAACCAACCACACATAATAAACAGTTTGCTTTAGGTAGCAAGCTATTTTCTCGAGCCCTAAGAGTTATTCCCTGGACTCCCGGCATTTTAGTCCTTGTAGCGGTGACTTCAGAAGGCTCCCTTGGGGCTTCTCAGCCATCTCTGAAGCACTAGAGCCGGAATCGCTGGTGCAGTGCATCACTGCAATCTGCTAGGCAGAGAAACCTTATGCAGATATGGGAAGGATATTACCATGCATCATATCTTCCCTATCGAGATGGCATTTATGGATCTTTAACATGATGCATGATGTCCAAATGTTCCAATGAGCACTTTAGAAGGGACGAATTTCCTCACTTAGAAGAGCAGTTTGTGCAATATAATCTTCTGCGCACAAGGACAGTGTCACTCACTTGACGATACGTGCTGTTTTGACTTGCTTGATCTGGGCAGGTGTTATTTTTCTGTCTGGTTCACTATGTTGATAAACACACTGTTTCCACAAACCTCATGTATAACTCCTACTTTCCCTCTCATTCCAAGTGGAAGCCAGTGCATACTTAAACCAAGAATGTTGTTATCCTCTAACATCAACCTGGGGTTTGCATAATTAAAATGTAAAGAATAGCATATAAGTCTTTTAAATAGTTTTTTTTTAGGTACTACACAGCATTGCAATAATCATGCTGTTGAATTTTCAGCATGGCAATTAAGACACAACTGTGGTACTTCCATATCCTACTGGAATGCCTGTTGTGGAGTCCTGCCTCTGATTCTAATTCCAGCTTCTTATGAATATGTAACCTGAGAGGCAGCAGGTAATTTTGCTAACAGTTGTATCCTTCCTTCTCACAGGGACCTTGACTGAGTTTCTGGCTCCCAGGCATCTGGGGAGGAAAAGAGTATGTAGGTGATCCCCATTTCTCTCTCAAATAAATCAAATAAAAATAAAAATAGATTTTAAAAGAGTCAGACTAAGTCCCCATGGAGCATGGTGTGTAAAATACACACACACACACACATTCATACCTCTACAAAAAAGTAGTTCATAATAAGTTTGAGTCACAGGTTAGAAAACAATTTAAAAAAAAAAAAAGGTCAGTAGGCAAACCTGGAAAAGGACAGTGCTCACAAAATGGAGTCCTTCTATTCTGGATAATAATATTAATTTCTGATAACCACAAATAATTATCATGTAAAAGGGTACTGCACACCACAGTCAATGCCCGCGGGAGAGAAGGCAGAAGCTTTGAATACTGCGGCTGAGCCCTTTGTGCTAATCATCTCCTTTGCCAGCATGCAGACACTGAGTTGAACACCCATTCCAGTCAAGTGACATCTAAATTTCAGCTCCTCTTAGGTTGCATTACACACATGATAAAAATCCTAGACAGAGCTTTTAATCCTGTATCAATGTCTGGAGGATGAAATGGATTTAAAGATAGTCTCTCATCTTCATAATTTTTCTTCTCCTTTCCCTTCTTTTTATAACATTTTATTTGAAACAATTAAGAGAGAACAAGTAGGCCAAAGTGTACCTATCTGCTGACCACTTACCAAATGCCCACAACAGCCAGGGCTGCACCAGGACAAAGCCAGGTTCCCAGAACATCTGAGTCTCCCATGTGGTAACAGGGATATAAGCCTTTAAACTATCATCTCGTACTTATCAGAGTGCATATTAGTTGGAAGCTGGATCATAAGTGGAGCCAGGGCAAGCCCCACTCCTTCATTTCATTTATTTTTCTCTCAGTTCTACACTGTCATGAGATCTTGGGGGAACTGTCTTTCCCCTAACCAGCCACCATAGTTGAAGTCCTTAAAATTGATCTCTACTTCAGACTTAACCAGATTAGCCAGCCTTCACTCCATCCCACAGATTCCCTGGCACCTGCAACAGTCTCACAACAAAGTGTTCAAGGTATCTGTCAATAGGTGTGATCCTTCTCCTCTCATCAACTGTGCTATCAATGGTGTGAATTAAACCATTAGCTAAGTACATATTCTCTACTAGTGGCTGCCAATTGCTACTGCAATTTCTTGAGTGAAAGACATAAAAGTTTGAAGAGAAAAAGTTTTCTCTCTTCAAAACCCATGTAACATACACTGGAAAGTTACAACCATAGTGCTATGGAAGGATTTTCTATTCAGATTGCTTCTCATGCTTTCTGATGGGCTCACTTTATGTTAAAGAAACTGGAAATCAGAATGCATTATTACTTTGGTTTCTAGAGAACTCCAATGAATGAATTTACGCTTAAAGATTTCATATGACAGTAAAATACTGGTGACTATTTGAACTTAAGTTACTTAAGAAATATTTTTATGACTCCCTCATTGAGCACATTTTCAATTGACTTTTGAACTATAGTTTCTAATTATACTGGAATAGAAAACATCCATGATTTTAGTACTACTACTATTTTACTCCCACCACTGACTGCTTTTCCTAGTAATATCACTCAGAAAAAAAAGAGCAACTGCTTGATTTAATTTGAATGCCTGCATTTCTACTAAGGTATTTGATACTGGAAGTTTTGATTGCAGAGGGGTGAGCAGATCAAGAGACAGTTTGGGGCAAAGGTTTACTTTATGGAGGGATCTTGATGGGGCTGAACACACTGAAGGACTTCAGGGAGCTAGATATCGTGATGGGACACTAAGCATATGAGGGTGTTTCAGCAGATAATGGTAGTGAAGGTGAAAGGAGAACATAGAGTGTGCAAGTCAGTGGTGACACTGGCATTTGATCCATGCGCTGGTGACAGGTTGCTGCTGCAGGCTGCCAGTGCTTAGATCTGTGCATAATAGGAGCATGGTCTCTTACACATGGAATCACTAATACACATAAAGGGAGAATACAGGTACTCTGTCATTTAAATGGTTGCTACCTTGGATTTGATTATATCCCAAATATTAGAGATTTTAATACCATAAGCATAAATTGATGTTTAAATTATTAAGCTCTGTACAGAAAATGTCAAGGAGTAAAGTTAACTCTGAGCAATATGATCTGCTATTTAAATGATACCAGGATTTCATTAGGCCTTATTTTAGCTTGGAAGCAGTAAGTGAGAAAACATTGAAGGAAGCCATTATACTGTGGATTTCCTTTCAATCACTTAAACATCTGGAATATGTTCTCCACAAAAGAGCAAGCCAAGGCTAATTTTATTATGACTAGTTTCATGCAGGCAGAATTTTCACTTCATTAAATGTTGTCTGATTATAGACAGAAAAGTACTGATTTGAAATGATATATATGTATATACATATATATATGAATATATATTTGATATGTTGAGTTTTTTCTTCTTTTTATAAAATTAAATTGCCTGTGAGATTGCTTATGCAGTTAAGGATTTGTTCAAATATATATTTAGAATTATAGTTATCAATTTCCTTGGCAACAAAAGAATTATCTATCAACAGGCGAATAATGTTGTTGTAAATTCTTTATTATTTGAGAGGCAGACACACAAAGTGAGAGAGACAGAGAGACACACAGAGACAGAGAGAGAGAAAAAGGGAGGGGGGAAGAGAGAGACAGAGCGCAAGCGAGCTCTCCCATATGCAAGCTCACTTTCCAAATGGCTGCAATGGCAGGGACTGGGCCAAGTTGAAGCCTGGTTTGTAGATCTCAGTCCAGGTCTCTGACATGTGCAGCAGGGACCTCATCTCTTCAGCTATCGCCCTATCAGGGTGTATATTAGCAGGAAGTTGCATGTAAACAGAGGTGACACTTGGATCTGGGCACTCCCATATGGGGTTTGGGCATCCCAAGAAGCACATTAACCACCATGTCAAACTGTTAATATTATTTTAATTGTCTGGAAAGTTTGACATGACTAAGTTTATTTTTACTGCAAGGCAAAGTTGGTTTGAAAGATTCAAGAATTATCGAGGGAATTATACATAGGGAGTCACTATTTCTCCTGTGAAGCAGGAGGCAGGAGACTTGGCACAGCCTG